CAACTCCCCTCCACCGACCTTCTCCTGCAGCTCCTGCTTCTCCTTGCTGGCCTCTTCCAGCTGCGACTGGAGATCGTTGATCTGGGCCAAGTCTCGGGAGGCCTGGAGGAGAAGAAGTGGGATTTGGGGGGAGCGCAGGCGGAGGCGCAGGCGGGCAGAGCCTTTGGCGAGCTAAGGACGGGAGATGCCTGCCAGACCCTGCTCTGCAGCCGCCCGCCCGCCCACTCTCCGGATGGATCGGGCTGCCCTCGGTGTGAGGAGAGAGACTCTGCCATCCCACCCCCTGCCCCAAAGGGAGCCTCCCCCAGGACGGGACTTGGGCCAAGCGAGAGAGGCCGGGCCAGGCCGGGGAGGAGGGGCTCGCTCACTTGAGCGACGGCCGCCTTGTGCTTCTTCATGAGCTCGTTCATGTCCTCTTGGTCTTCCTCCAGCCGGCTCTGCACCTCGTTCTTCTCCCGCTGCAGGCGGCTCAACTGCTCTTCCAGCTGCTCGAGGAGGGAAGGTGGGTTAAACCCAGTTCTTTCAAAGACCTCGCCGGACAGGACGGGAGAGCCCTCTTCCCATCCAAGGCCCAAGGCCCCCGCTGCCGCTCGACCCAGACACACAGCCTGGCTACAGGCGCTGTGGACCAGCCAAGCTCCGAAAAGGGCAGCTGCGAGTCAACCACACCCATTGGCTAGCGCCTGGGACGTCTTGGGGAACCTCCGTCTCCAGTTGAGTGGACAGGGTAGTATACATGAAAGCATCAACATGGAAAGAGCGCCCAGGGGGCCAGACCTTGTGAGGGCTGCCACTCCGTGGAGGGTCCCCCACATCCTTCTTTCATGGGAGGGGGAGATCGGAGATCGGTGGGGGGGGAAGCAGGGAGGACGGAGGGACCTACCCCTGCCTTGGCCTTGGAGAGATCATCAATCTGCAGGTGAAGGTCCTCAATCTCCACCTCCATGGACTTGCGAGCTTTGACTGCGGCTGCACAGGTGAACTCTGACTCTTCCAGCTGTCGAGAGAGCCCACGCCCCATCCCAGGGGGCAAGCAAGAGTTAGGAGGGCCGGCTTCTCTTGCAGACGCTCCGACCCCTCCCTACCACTAAACCTTGCCGCTTCCCTTTGTTCAGGAACCCAGTCTGGCTTCTGCCTCAGGCAAAGCGCCGCCAAGGCCTTGCCCAAGAAAGCTTGAGCACCAAAGGCCCTCTTGCCCCTCTGGGACACGTGGTCCACAACCCCCCCCCCCCCGGAGGGCCTCGTGCCAACCAGGCCCACCTGGGTGGGCCCTCCACGTGGCAGGCGGCTCAACCAGCACGACTCCACCCCTTCCCCTCGGAGGCACCCCTGGGCCGCCAGAGGGAGGGGCTCCAACGGGCAGCACACCTGGTTCTTGAGCTGTGCGATCTCCCGCTTGCTGGGCGCGTTGTTCTTCAGGTGGTCCAGCATGACCTGGGCGTCGGCCAGGAGGGCCTTGGTGCGCTTCAGGTCCTTCCGGAGTCGCTTCTCCGTCTCAAAGTCCCGCTGGTTGACCTGAGGAGGAAAGCTGGGTGAGAGCAGGGATCTGCTCCTCCTCCATCAGCGGAGTCTCCCTGCAGCAGCCTCCCACCCCACCACCCCCGCCAGCCCTCAGGAGAGCCCTCTCTCCCCTACCTGGTCGCTGACAGCCGCCAGCCTCGCCTCCAGGTCCCTCTTCTCTCGCAGCACCTTCTGCTTCTCCTCGTACTCCTCCTCCAGCTGCATCTCCATCTGCTTCAGCTGTTGGGAGCCACCGGCAAGCAAAGGGGGTCAGCAAAGGACACGTCAGCCCTGGGGAAGAGGGGACACCCGCTCCCAGCTGGGGGACCACGTCCGGTTCACAAAGAATACGCCCCTTGAACATCTAATTCTTTCACAGCTCCGAGACCAACACGCCCGGGGGGGGGGCTACCAAGGCTGTAGGGAAGCCGGGGGATGGCCCAGGGACCCCAAAGCCCTGCTTCTACCTGGTCTACCAAGACCTCAGCTGTGGGCAGGGGGGGATGAGAAGGAGCGCTGGGCATACGGAAGCAGAGGGCGTCCTCAAGCCCCTTGTCATGGCACCGCACCCTGCCAAGGATGGGGACTTGAGTCACAAGACTTGCTGTCAAATCAGACTTAAGTCCCACTAAGAACTCGACTCGGATCCACTTGGGTTCCCCCCCCCACATAACTGAGACTCAAAACCCACCCAACCCCCTCGCTTTTTTTCCCTTGGTTTTAACAGGGACTCAGGCTTGGGTCTTGGGACTCCGGACCGGAAGACTGCATGTGGACCAAGACACCTGCTCCCTTCAGGACTTGGCGTGTTCCTCGGCATGTGGATCGAATGGAATTTGCCCGAGGACCTGTTCTGGGTTCAGGTTTTGCTCTCTGCCAAGCCCGCCCCCCCCCGCAGCCCCAACCAGGCTTCCCGATCCCAAGAGATGAGCCCCTTCTAGTTCCGAGGGAAGGCTGTTTCAGAAATCCTGCTCCGATTTATTTTATCACATTTTAAGGGAGATTCCGTTTTTGGGGCTCAAAAGGTTCCTCCGAGGGAGCAAAAGGGCTTCATGTAAGAGCCCTACAAGATTTTTGATAAAGAGATTTTTTCCAAATAATTTTTATATTAATTGAATGAACGGTGCAGATAAATAATAAAGCCATTCTATTCCAGCTGCCGGCTGATTAGGGAACTTTTTAGGTGGCTAATCACATGCATTTCAGCTGATTAATTCATCTATTAAAATTAAATACATTTGCCTTTTAGAGTTACCAAAGGAAGCATGACATCCCTTTACCGTTGAGCAGGCGGGAATGGTCAGGGTTCAGAAAAACGCACACGTTGCCCACGTGCCGCCACGTGGCCTCCCACTCACGCTGACCCCAGGAAGGAGCAATCTCCAAGAAGTCCCGTCCTCAACCAGGCTTTGGAACCCGGGTGCGGTTACCGCAGCCACCCTGTACACACCCTCCCTCCTTGGGGAGGAAGCCCCCCCCCGGGGCCCGCATGGGGCTTCCTTCCGAGTCCGCGTGCACAGGGGCTGCCCCGCCAAGCCTCTGGGGTGGCCAGCCTCTCTGTCCAACCCGGCGGCCCTCCCTCTGCTCTGACATCCCTGCCCAGGCTCCCGTGCTCTGCTGCAGCCCAGTCCCATTCAGGGCACCGGGACGGCCCGGATCCGGCCCCCCAGCCGCTTGAGAGCGGCCTTCCCTTGCCGAGCCTCGTTACAGATTGCCCTCGAGGTTTCCAGCCAGGCAGGGTTTGTGTTTCTTCCAGGAGAGCTTTCTGCTTCACCCGGGAGGTGAGCATTAGCCAGTATTGACTTCTTAATTGATTGTGAAATGTCACGCTTATTATTTATTAATCTGAGGAGAAGCGACACCCGGGAGTCCCCAGCCAAGCTCCTTCCTCCAGGCAAGGAGGCTCTCCAGCTCTGCCTCCCTTCGCCCTCGTTCCCTGCTTGCAGGAGCGTCGTCTGAAGGCAAAGCCATTCAGGGCAACGGTGGCCCTTGGGACCTTCTGAGCGACGACGCCCACAGGAAGTGCCACACAGACAGATGCCAAGGACGGTGACTGTACGTGTTATTGTTTTCCCCGGTGTGTGACTCGTGTGTTGTTCTATGAGGAAGGGCAGAGATTAAGTGGCATGACAAAGGAAGGAAGGAAACACATCACTTTTCCTGCTCCCAGCCAGCCCAGGGCCAGGCTCCCGTCCTGCTAATTAAGACATAGCACGTGGGCGTCTGGAACCACCTGATCCCTCAAGCTCACGGGATGCAAGGAAGGAGAAGGCTTTCTTGGGAAGGAGGAGCAGGAGGAGGTGGGAAGGGCTTCCCGGCAGCAGAGGAAGGGGAATCAGGAGAACCCAAGGTGCGAGCCAGGCCTTGACCCAGGCCCGGTGTTTGTTGGCTTGGAACGGCCCGCTTCCCAAGGGGTTGTGTTTCCTTCCTCACCTTCTTCTGGCAGGACTGCCGAGTCTCTTCCACCTCTTCATCCCGGCTCTCCACTTCTTTGGAGTGTGTCTGACGCAGCCGCTCCATCTCCATCTCCAGCCGGAGCTTGGCCTAAATGGGAGAGAAGGAGCTGTGAGGTCACGCCCGGCGGGGCTTCCGCTGGGAACCCAGGAAGGCGCCTCCTGCCCCATCAGACCCTCAACCCACTCAGCCTGGTGCCACCTGCATCTGCAGGGCAGCGGCACTCGTGGCTCTCCAGCAGCTTCCGGCAGGACTCTCGCCTTCTCCAACTCCCCAGAGGCCCTCGGGTGGGACGGCGCCCGGGGCCTTCAGCTCAGCTCTGGGCTCTCCTCCGGACACCTGCTCTCTCTTCTCCCCGGCTTCCAGCAGCCTGACCTTTCACACCCAGAGAGCTCTGGCAGGCTTTGCCTGTTCCCTTCTCCCATGAGATCTGCTTGGTTCTGAGCTTCAGAGCAGCCCAGGTACACACGCCCCTCTCTCCTTCACAGTCTGAGAAACCTCACAAGGCTGTGTTGGAGATTACAATGGAGTGTGTGCCTGTGTCCGTGCGTCTGTGCGTGTGTGTGTGTGTGTGTGTGTGAGAGAGAGAGAGAGAGAGAGCTCACGATGGTCTGCCTTCAGTTCCTTGAAGGAGGCAGGGTATAGCTTTTCAAGAGAAAGAAGAGGAATCTATCCTAGGGAATCCCTGACTCGGTGCTCACTCCGGGGGCTCACGATGGAGAAAGGCTGTCCAGACAGGAGGGCTCTGCTCGCAGACTGACCTCTCTGACCACCTGCCTCGCCCGCCAAGGCTCCCTTCCGACACCTCGCAATCTCCCTCCCCTCCATCTGTGTCGCCGTCCCATTGCTCCTTAATCGTGCGGCTTACTGACTTATAAATTGACTGGCTGGCAACCGAACGTCAGCCAGCTCTGGGGACAAATGAGAGGTCTGGGAAAGAGATGGCGGCCAGCACCACGGATGGTAACAGCCATTGATTAATTGGTTTTATTTACAGGCTGCCTCTCTCCTAGAATAAATAAAGAGGCCAAGGTGGAGGAGAGAAAAAACAACTCTGTGGCAAGAGGACTGGCCAGCCACAGGGGTCCTCTCTCTCTCTCTCTCTTTCTCTTTTTCTCGGTCCTCCAGGAAAGCGGAAGCTCCACTCTCTGAGGCTGACTTTGGTCTTTGTGACTTTGGTCCAGAGCACAGCTCCTTCCGGAGCCTTCTGACTAATCGGACGACCTCGTGGTCTGGCTCTGCTCTTTCTAGTCCTTCTTGCCCACCTGCACTCTGACACTTCACCCACCGAGCCCTGTGGCTCCCCGGCTGTGGAGACACATCCAGGCCCATCCCTCGAAACCTTCCCAGAACGGGCAACAGCTCCTCCTTTTGAACGACAACCCCAAGGACCTCCCAGCCAGCCTGGCCAGAGGGAGGAAGCTGGGACCTATGTTCCAACCAGGGGGTCCTGGAGCTGGATTCAAAAACGCCCCCACCCAAGAAGCAAGGAGGCAGGTAGGCAAGCAGGCAGACAGGCAGGCAGGTGGAGAGGGGGCCAGCTTTCTGCCCCCTGGCTCAGGCAGGGCCAAGCAATATTCTAAACCACCAGCAGACCAATGCCCAGAGTGAGGACGGTCCGGGGGCTCCTCACCCGAGGGCCGGTGTCTGGATCCACAGGCTCCAAAAGGTGGTTACTTACTCGCCTGGCCGCGGCCATTTCCGACGCCCGCATGCCTGCGTTTTCCAGCCGGCGCCTCTGGAGAAACGCGACAGGAGCCTGCCTCACCCGCACCCGGGGCCGGCGCTGGCCTGGGTTCGAACCTGCCGAACGAGAGCTGTCGCTTCCTTCCTCTGGGAGAAGTCACAGCGGCAACCCGGGTACATAAAGCCAGAGGATGAGAAGGCGCACGCCCCCATGATACCGGCACGCCCAGAAAACCGGCAGAGCCAGAGAGAGAGAGCCAGGGAGCCAGAGAGAGAGGGAGGGAGAGGGAGGGAGAGAGGGAGTGGCAGGCTCCGCCCCCGTCTTACCTGCTCCAACATCTGGATAGTGCCCGCCTGCTCGTCCAGCTCCTCCTCCTGGTCCTTGGCCTTGGCCTCCAGGTCCCGGAGCTGCTTCCTGACTTTGGCGAGGGAAGCCTCGTCTTTGGACTCCTGGGAAGAGAGGTCCTGCAGCTCGGCCTCCAGGGCCTCCGCCTTCTGCGTCAGGGCGGCCAGGTTCGAATCCTTCTCCTGCCAAAGAAGAAGAAGAAGCAGAGGAGGAGGATAGGGGCCAAAGGAATCAGCAGACCGGAACGGCTCTCCCCTCCATTCAGAGCCAGGCCCCGAAGCTTTTAACACCTCTGCCCTTTTCGCCCGCCAACAACCATTCTCATTCTGCTTTACGGACTGGAACCCTTTGGGCTCCCTGCTGCTGGTTCTGCCTCTCAGGGAGGCTACGGGAAGTGCCGAACGGAGGGCTCCCGTCCCTTTAATACGGGTGCAGAAGAGGGGAAATTTCAGCAGGTAGATCTGGTCAGGGCAGGCACACCTGCCGAAACCGCCTCAGCCAGACCCCTCCCATTTCATGGAGCCACTCTGTTTATTCTGCAGTCGGCTTCTTTTGGCGTTGTTTTATTGTAACACTTTTTAATATATATTTTTAACAGGCTGTATGACACCCACAGCATTTTAGTGGGTGGGCGGTATATAAACGGCATGTACTGCATTCGCTGAGGCTGCTAATTACTGAAGGAGAGAAGAAGGTGCCTTCCTTGACACGACCAAGCAGGAGAGGCGGGTGCCGCCAGAAGCCCCGCCGCAGCCTGGAGAGAACTCCACAGACGGGACCTCACTGGGAGGAGGAGGAGGAGGAGGAGGGAGGCTTGGGTGTAGACGCTACAGCACCCTTTCAGCTCCCCTCCCTTGCCTGGGAGATTCTGGGGGATGCAGAATCTGGAGGGCATTAAGGTCGAGGAAGGTGACCATGGACACCTCTTTTAGCCCCAGGAGGGAGCTCAACCTCAGAGAAGTTCTCCAAGTGGCAGGCAGTTCCCAAGGCTAAAGCAAAGACAAAACGGTCGTGGATTTTAGCCCCAAGCTCTTCTTTTAGAATTTCTTTTAGAAGACTCATTTTTACTCTTTCAGAACGGGTCAGATCCTGCGTTCCACAGTCGGGAGGCCCCTTGACAACGGTGTTGTTTTTTTCTCCTCTCCCTTTCCTTCAGCTCTCCCATTCTGTTAAAGTATTTCTGTTATGTAAAATTGTTTATACGTATATTTATTGTATTATCTTTTAATTGTTGTTAGCCGCCTAGAGTGGTCCTGACACGACCAGATAGGCGGGATATAAATGAAATAAAATAAATAAAATAAATAAATAAAATAAAAGGGGCTGTGGCAGCCGGGGGGGAATCCCACGGGGCCAGATCCATCCCTGTGGACCGAGAGCGCCTCACCACCCACCTCGAGCTGCTGCTTGAGGCTGAAGACCTCGGAGATGAGCATGTCCTTCTCCCGGCTCAGCTTCTCCCGTGCCAACTTCTCCCGCTGGGCTTCCTCGTGGGCCTGGGAGAGCTCACTGTCAAACCTGCGACCGGGCAAAGAGGGACCAGGCTTGGCTCTGCTGGCTGAGGAGGAACAGCGTGCCCACCCCCTGCCACGCCGTCACCCACGCGGAAGGCACCACGAGTAGCCAGCTGCCTCCCGCTCCCGAGACAAACCCCATCTGCTGTGCGTCTGGTTTAATATGAATATTTATACCCTGCTGTTTGGGTCCGCACGGGACACCCACAAAACAGATTGCAAACTCAATAAAAACACCGAGGAGAAAATCAAATTAAAAACAAACAACCGAGTTAACAAAACAATAGCACCATCAACCCAACTCTGGAGACAGTCCGACACGGACTGCGTGTTGAAAGCCTACCGTCTTGACCCTCTGGCTGATGGCTGGGAGAGAATGGGGCCTGAGAGAGTCCCCGGGTGCCAACAGGAGGGAGGCCCTGTCCCTCATCCTCCCCACCATGGCTCGCGTGAACAGGAGGGAAGAAACTCTTCCTGCTCTCTTGCAAGATCAAACAGGGTCCCTCTCCCTGAGCATGATGAGCACCGGAGAGGCAGAGACAGGCAGAAGGAAAGACTTCATCACCGGGGCACCCAACCCCCAGCAGGACAGGGCCCTTGCTCAAAGAGGGGCTTGCTGAAGAGAAAGCTGAGGCCCAAGACCTTCCTGGTTGGTCTCATCCTGAAGCCCACCTCAGGCTCTGGGATGAGAAATCCGGCCCGTGCAGTGCAAAGCGCCAGGCATGTGATGTCACCCATGGGGGGGGAATGGGGCAGCCCAGTTAGTGTCCGCTTCAAACCATGAAGCTCCCTGGGCCACCATGGACACACACTCTCTCTCTCAACCAGCCTGACCTCCCTCACAGGGAGGTTGCTGCTGCTGCTGCTGCAGGGGGTTATCTGTCCAATCTTGAAGCCTCTACTCACTCCCCATGCCGAAGTGGGCAAGGGGCAGTGGAGAAAGCAGAGCGCTCGTCCTGCTCTGGGTGAAGAGGAAACTCTTCTCTCTCCCCCCCCCCCAATTTTCATCAAGGGGCACCTGGCAAGGAAGAGAAGCAACAGCCCCTTCCCCCTCCCCCGGCTGTGAACTGTAAGAGAGGCCTTTCACCTCCTCCTCCTCCTCTTCCCTCCAAGTTTGCCTCTTGAAATCTCCACTGCCACCCAGGAAGCCTGGTCGCTTGCCAAGAGCTTAGCCCCCCCCCTACTCCTCCCACCCAACCCCTTTATCTTTAACCGGCTCTCAGCTGGGGGCCTCTCAGAACACCACTGTTTACAAGCCTTTAATTTCCACCAGAAGAGCCCAAGCAGAGAGCAAATTGCCGAGCATCTTCCCGGCGCCTTTTCCTGAATTGCTAAGAGAATCCTGCCTGCATGCCTGGGGAGGAGGGGAGAGAAGAGAGGCATGAAGGACACCAGGAGGAGGAGGAGGAGGGAGGCACGATGGCTGGAATATACGGCAGGAAGGAGGGGAGAGACCGGCAGAGGCAAGGCAGCACCGCCCTCCATGAAGAAGCCAGAGTGGAAGAAGAGAAGAGAAGGATGTTGAGGAGAGGCTGGGAGCAAAGGCCAGAAGGACCATCGCTCCCTGCAACAGTTCCCTCTTTCTCTCCCCCTCCTGGCCTTGGACAAGGGCTGCTACGGGCGCCGCCACCCCAACTAGAGCCTCAAACCGTCGGTTTTTGGAGACACAGACTCCCAGGACACCCCAGCCACTAGCCCTGGCCACTGGGGGAGGCTTGGCCCAACGTCAGGTGCTCCTCAGCCCAAGCCGTTTCGCCCCCCCTCTCCCATCCAGCGATGACTGGGTGTGCAAGGACTGGCCCAGGGACCTTTTCCCCAGGAAGAGGAGTTGCCGGCGAAGCTGACATGATTGGGGCTTTCACTGCCTGCCCTGAGCCTCTGTGCTCTTCCTCTGCCCTGGGCTGCCCTCTTCCCTCATTTGGGACTCTGTTTCTTAAAAAAGAAAGAAAGAAAGAAAGAAAGAAAGAAAGAAAGAAAGAAAGAAAGAAAGAAAGAAAGAAAGAAAGAAAGAAAGAAAGAAAGAAAGAAAGAAAGAAAGAAAGAAAGAAAGAAAGAAAGAAAG